ATATTAAAATATTTTTAAGGATCTAGAATATGTCAGAAGAGGTCAACTACCGACATTTGTGAATAAGGTAATGAAACTTGTGGCTCTATAAAGTTCAAATATTTCGTGGCCATGTCACGGACTAATACATATGAAGAAGGTTCCCGCTGAATGTGGTTAGAATAAGTTCCCTTTGGCAGCTTTCTTTATATGCTCTGACCTATTACGGAATTTGTGTGTGTGCAGGAGGACGCAACAGGACATCAGACGCGCTCTCTACTGAAAAGTACGAACCTGCAGAAGACACGTGGACCGAAATCCCTGGCATGAACGTCTATTCAGATTATTTAAATGCAGAAGTGATCGACGACACGATCTTTGTCATTAGTAGATATTTTGACAAGGACCACTTCGAATCCCGCGTCGCATGTTTCAATGACAAGAAAAATCGATGGTTTGTTCTTTTTTTATTGTTCAGGACTGTACAATCACAAACTGTTACTTTCGAAAAGCTCTAGGATGTGAATCATTTCCTGTCAAGATAACCGCGATCTTGCGGATGCTGCGCCGTGTAGTGACGTAGAAACTGACCGACGTTTCAGAGGTTCTTACTGCTAATCAGGGACTTGAATACACCCGCGAAAAATGGGTGTGAGGAAGGGGGTAGAACGAACGCAGGTAGGGCGATGTTGCGGTCAAGTTGGATCGTTAAAGCAGAGGGCGAATGACTAGGAAATGCTAATCAGACGTCAACTGTAACTACGTTAATAAGAAGCTCTTTGACTAAGTTTCTTTGATCAGAGGTAATCTCTTGGGCAGGAAGTGTCTGGCGTTCAGCACATCAGCATCGCCATAATCTTCAGCTTTCATCAAAGTGTTAGGTTAGTTTTAGGTTTAACGACGCCTATCCGTCTCCTGTTCCCATTTCTGATGGATTTTATTTTAAAATGGTTTTCTCTTGCCGTGTTTGACCATGCAATTACCTGCAATCTGTTGACGGAGTTGGTTAGGAGCTCCGAAAACATCCCAGAAGACAGATTTATTCATATTTGTTTGTGCAAGAGCCAGAAGTCCATCAGAAATTCATTCGATTTTGGTTTTTGTCTGTTTTACGTCCAGCATAACCTCTCCAGAACTACTTTTGATGGGAATTTTTTTTGGAAAATATATTGCTAAAAGGGGGAAATATTGTCATGGGCACATATCTCTAACAAGACACGCTTAACTCTCCAAAGAAAGCGTGTGATTAAATTTATTTTTCTGACCGAAGTCAATGGCTTAATGAAGTGTAAGATACTTAGCTAGTGCGGAACTCAAGTCATTTGACATCGTTTTAAAATAGTCATAACATCTCCCTCCACTCTGATGTAATGAAATGTATTACGTTATAATAGCGCGTTGGCCGGGGTTCTATGTGCATGAGTGAAAGAAATATCACGTGGGAACTGCTCTGAAATATGGTGTGGCAATCGTCCATCGAATTCCGATTGGGGAAATTTTGTTAAGGTTGTCAGGAAACAAATTATAAGCAACGACATTTCGGTGGAAGCCTGTGCCCTTAGCTTCAAGCAGTTTTCCATTCAACTCAAAGACAGAGCCAGCCCATAAGACATGATATTTATAGGTCAACACATTTAACGACTCGCAAAGATAATTCTTTTATACTTATTCTACACCGAAATCTCTGATATTTTAGAACCCCAGAAGAAAAAGTGTATATATTTTTAAGAAAATGGTTAATTTTTTTACATAATTGCACTTACTTTTAACTTACATTTCCATTAAATTTCAATTAAACAAATTATTTATGTCAGAAGATGTATTCCTTCATGAGTTACATCATCGCATGTAGAGCTACATATTTTCTGTAACTGTGTCCGCGAAATGTGATAAAAATTGTCTTGAGTGTAGATAATACTGATGGACAATGAAAGAGGGTTTGTTTTCACTTTTAATATCTCAAATTGCAGGTACGTGGTGGCAAACATGAATGTTAGTAGATCCTTTCTGTCGACTTGTGTCATCAAGAACCTACCGAATGCAAGAGATTATGCCTAAAAACACCAAGACAAATTGATGAAGGAGAAATTCAAAAAGATGATGGCGGAGTAACGTAAAAAATTGTTGGTTTGGGTAAAAATCAGGCAACTCTCGTTTTACGATCGAGTTCCGTTCCAAGACGTTGTTCGTTATAAGTTTTTGTTCGTTATATGTATCTTGCATTCCTGAGCTTTTACGATACATATCGTATACGTTAGCAGCCATTAAAAAGCATTAAAAGCATGTACTAATTAACATATAATAATTTTCTGATATTATTGTAATAAATACATGTTTAAAGTTTCTTTACTTACATTTTACAATCATGTTCACTATACGTTTGGCATTTCGTTTTATAAGGAACTCTATCTACTGGCTACTTTAAGAAATTTTGAATGATTTGTGACATTCGTTATAGCGAACGTTCGTAAACCGAGAGTTACCTGTAGTTTGCAGTTGATTAAACCACGACGAACACATTAATTTTAATTAAGTACCATACGAATCTAATGTAGAAAACTGGGAATTGATGTAGGAGTTATAAAAGAAAATAAAAAAAAAAGAAATAATTTTGCAGCAAAGAAGGAAAAATTATTTCTCCTCGTTGTTTTGTGTTCAAGAAGTCTTATTGAAATTAATTATTTTACAGACGTTTAATTTTATCTAAAATATTACCATCCATCAAGACACAGCAGTTTCACCTTGCGTCTTGTATTAAATAAATCCACTTGTGGCGACATGTTTCGAGTTACGAAACCGTCTTTACGGTATCAGGGGAAGATTAAATGTTGTTACTTTATGAACATCATTTACAAAAACATAAGGCAGCACACTGAGAATTTTCTTACTGATTTCTGACCTACGGGTGATATTTAAAAAATTGCAAAATTAAATTTGGCTGAGATGTCCTAATATACCGGGTAATTATGCCATGTCCCTGGGGAAGTACCAACTTTTTCAAATGTCGAAAGAACTCAAGCTGTGATATGAAGTAATTTCCGGTATGAAGTGAAACGTGAAACGCCGAGAAGAGGTTCAGGTGTAGTGATCAAACTTGGGGGGGTGTCTTCCTTGCGTCGGGTAGTGATGTGGCTGGAATAGTAACTAGCCAGTCAGGTCCATGCCGCCATGATTCTAATGAACACAAGCCGTCTGCCTGAAGTCCTCGAGAAAGATCATCTGCAGGATTACTCATTCCTGGCCAATGTCCCATTTGACTAGGCGTGGTGTAGCTCAAAATTTCTGTAACTCGATTGCAAAAATGCCACTCATTTACTCCAAAATCTGGGGTAATTACAAATACTTATGAATTGATCACAGAGATAATACTAAGAGAATTAAAATCTACAAAATGAAAGCATTCTCCTTTGTCACAATTTTCAATTATCAGCTGATCACAACATTACTATTTATTTTATATTACATAAGATTTTTGTTCATTTCATTATGTTTGTTTTGAGGGTTATGTCTTTATAGAGAGAGATGCCCGTTATAGTAAATGGAAAATGGCTGTGAAAAGAAGTCTTCGTTGGGCTACTGCCAAAAAGTCTCTTGCAATGACAGGTAATAATACTATTACTACTGCATAACAGTTATGTTGCTTTATAGATCCTTTAAATCTGAATAGTCCTTCCAGAGTAGCATGTCTCTATATGGAACTGTAAGTCTGTACATCAGAATGCATATTTACAAGCATTATTAGCTGGGCAAGTTAAACCTTTTTGTGATGTCCTAATTTTTCCAGGAGACATGGATCTCTTGTCTCTGTTTGCTCGTCTGCAACCACTTGGTCTCCCAATGAGTACAGTACGCAGGATACAGGAGATCATGTCCAGCACTTCGCATAACACATGATCATGTATAAAACTGGTGCAGCACATATTAGGATAAGTGCAGACTAGTGGGCATGTTTTTATGTGCCCTTGCAGGGGCAAAATGTGTTATGTCTCTTATAAGTGTTTCCTTGTTTTTAAAATGAGTTAGGAGAACCCATAATCTGGAGATCAGTAGCAGACATACAGATGCTGGGATGGTGACACTTTTAAAATGTATGTGATGATTCATCTATAATACAAGCATTTTTGTGACTACTTTCATGTCTTCATATATTTATAATAATTAACAGTGAAGACTGATTGAAATGATTTGGGATGCAATTTGCGCTTCACTTTTTATTCCACGGGCTAGCTTAAACACCCAGAATTAACTGCCTGCTGCGTCTTGGATCCTTTCAGAGTAATGTAGTGTAGTGAGGCCGAGGTCATTGGATCATTGCTAGGCTTTCTGTAAAGCATGAGTGCCTTGAATAATATGTGTGTGTCTGCAGCCAAGTTCAAAGATTTGATAATAACGGCATCAAGGTGTGCGCCTGCATCGAATTTGTGGTTCTATGACAGTGTTATGTCATAGGGTTCTCAAGAAGAAGTCATATTAAGCAAGTCTTCTGAAAATACTTGAAAAGACTTTGTAACTTATATATATATATTTATATATATCTTCATGATGTGGTGCTTAAAGAACACCGGAGTCAAATTTTCCTTAGAAAATTACTTACTGATTGGCAAACAATTAATTTAGCTAAAGTTAGAAGTTTTTAAGATAGTTTTGTGTTGTAGCAAGATTGAAAAGAAACAATTATTTGAGTATACTGACATTCCAGAGGTGTTTTTTATTCCACGTAAGTAGATTGTTCTTGCACAAATGTCATCTAAGGTCTTTGCACCTTAAACCATTCTTGCACTAATATTATCACAGGCTGTTGTGGTTTATAACATTCTTGTATTAATTTGACCTGATGCCGTTGTTGCACAACAGTTGAACTTGACCCAAGACCTGCTTTCCACATGGTTGGGGAAATGTAACCAACCAAACAAGTTTTATTGAGTATGAACCTTATTAAATTTATTTTATGTACATAATGTCCACAAATGAAAATTTTACTTTCGAAACTTTTTTCAGTAATTTCGGAAAAAAATTATTTTGTGCGCTTTTCAGACAATTTCAAGAATTTTTTTATTTTTAAAATATTTTGAAAAATTTGATTTTTTTTAAATTTTCACTGCTAGATTCATACAAGAACCGGTCTCTGCCTCACACGGTCTCTGCCAGACTCCGCATATCTTAGAGGTTAGGTTAGGTTGGGTTAGGTAATGTTAGAATAGAGACTGTCTTACAGAGACCGGACCTTACTGAGACAAGGTCCTTCAGGGAAGGTTACGTCAAAGACCGGATGATGAAGAGCATTATGCTGACAGCGATCGGGTGGGAAGAATTTTTGAAAAAAAAATTGAAATTTTTCCAAATTTTCTAAAACCAAAAAATTATGGAAATTGTCCAAAAAGCGCACAAAATAAAAAAATTGAAAATTTTACCTTCAATTTTTTTAAAAAAATTCGAAAATATTTGGTTTTGTGCGCTCTTCAGACAATTTCAAGCATTTTTTTACTTTTTTGAAAAATTTGATTTTTTTTAAAAAATGCTCAGTGCTAGATCCATGGAAGAACCGGTCTCTGCCAAACCCGATCTAACAGAGGCACGCTCTGTCTCACCCGATCTGTGCTTCAACCGGTCTCCGTCAGATACGATCTCTGCCTCACACGGTCTCTGCCAGACTCCGCATGTCTCAGAGGTTAGGTTAGGTTGGGTTAGGTTAGATTAGGTTGGGTTAGGTTAGGTTAGGTCAAGTTAGGCGAGTGACTGTCATACAGAGATCGGAACTTATTGAGACAGGTTCCTTCATAGGTTACGTCAAAGACAGGATGATGCAGAGCACTATGCTGGCAGCGATCAGGTGGGGAGAATTTTTGAAACAAATTTTGAAATTATTCCAAATTTTCAAAAATTCAAAAAATGCTGGAAATTGTCCAACAAGCTCACAAAACCAAAAATATTTGGAAAATTTTACCTTCAAAACTTTTTCAAATATTTCTAAATGTTTTGGTTTCTTGCGCTTTTCAGACAATTTCCAGAGTTTTTTTATTTTTCAAAAATTTTGAAAACTTGATTTTTTTTTTAAATTTTCACTGCTATCCAAACAAGAACCGATCACTGTCAAACCCGATCTAACATTGGCATGCTGTCTCACGCAATCTGTTCTTCAACCTGTCTCCGTCAGATGAGTTCTCTGCCTCACACGGTCTTTGCCAGACTCCTCATGTCTCAGAGGTTAGGTTAGTTTGGGTTAGGTAAAGTTAGGCCCGAGATAGTCATACAGAGACCGGACCTTACTGAGACAGGGTCCTTCAGAGAAGGTTACGTCAAAGACCGAATCATGCAGAGCAAAATGCCTACAGCGATCGTGTATTTTGTCAAGTCTTGTCAATTAAGTTCTGGAAGTACCTGGACTTCCCCGTGGAGCGGTCTGTGGTCCAGGCACTCTCCTCCTCTTGTATTAGATCCGGAACCAAGGTAAGTCTGAAATTTCAATTAGAAAATTCTGAACCACAAGAACTGAGAATAAAACTGTTCAGAATAGAAAGGTTCAGAAAGTAAAAGAATAAATTTTTATTCCATTTCCATTTTGTCCACTGTTTTTGCACTGTTTACCATGCAGTCACTCTTGTCTGCATACCCCATGCATCTATTAGTCTTGTACAATGGATGGTTTCAGTGAATTTCCATGCTCATCACAGAAATTACCTTCTGCTGGAGGATGACACATATATGTCAGTATGTTTATGTTTTGTCTTTCTATTCTGTGGCTGTCAAGTCAACCTTGACCCCAGTCTTTATGTCACCCCATTTCAGTATGAGTTTCCTTCCAGAGCCACTAGGCATTTCTTTTAAATTTGGTCCGACAGTATGACAGCAATTTATGGCCTTTGTATGAAAATTGTCAAATAATTCAGAAGAGAAATCATCGTCAATGTAGAGTTTATGTCCCAAAACAGAAATGATATAAACATTTATTAGTAATTATTAACAATTTTACTAGCAAAAAATTTAACAGGCCATATGGCCTAATAAATGTTAGGGTGATGGTGATTATAACAGCAAATAAAATATGTTTACTTCTTGCTGAATATCAGTGTTTCTAGACATACACCCAGCTTAATTTCTACTGGCTATATTCATATGTCATTGTTATTCTGCACTGTCATTACTTCACGGAACTTCATTTGTTACTAAGACCTGTCTTTATGGTCCACTTATAAGTTTCATACAAATAAACAAGTTAAGCCTTGCTCTAACTGATGATATTTGATTAGTTTATGCATTCTATTCCAGTCTGTAACTTAACTATACCTGAGGAGAAACCAAATTTATTGTTTTCTGAAACATGTTACAGTTGCTCCCAATTTTTCAAGAACAATGTGGAAGCCTGTTATCTATTAGATTCAAAGTGGATACCATGATGTAAGGCAACTTACTGTCTCATGTTGGATTGCTTTCCTTGCTCCATCCAGTTCCACAACAAACTTGCAAACACTTTCCCAACTTCTGTTCTCCAAATTCAAAACTTGCACTGCCACATTCAGCTTTTCCTCTAAGCAGAAAGAAGCACTTATTAAAATGAAGCAATCTGCATGACCACAACATAACATATACATGATTAAAGAATTAACAGAACAATTACTTATTTTGAAACAAAATTTCTAGATGGTGGATCATGCTACCCAAAAACACACAAAGTGCATTTTTGAGTAGCATTATTCATTGATTTATTGCATAATTCACGCATACTTTTGCACAAAGACATAAGCTTATGGTTCATATCCTTGTGTTCATCTTAGAATCTGTCTCCCCCTCCATTAGTTCTGAATCAACTGAAAGACATGGCCATGAAAACGTGATATGCACAATATGCTATTGGAGGTCATCTGATCTTTGTAATTTGCAATTCCCTTACATCAATAAGACAAACAGCACGAGCACACAACTTCCTCTCATGCACTATTTTATTTATATGGAACATGATACGTTTCATTCAGTTTAATGGTAACAACACTGGAAATTGTATTCTATACCAAAAAAAAAAAAAAACAGATGTGTCAGTTGTAAATTGTGTATTCTGAGTGCTCCTGGCTCAAATAGTTTTTAAAGGACAATTATTAATGATATGGTACATCATTTTCATCAAAGAATTCTACCAGACTACATGGTGCTACAACCATCTTTTAGAAATCTTGTATCTCCTGAGCATTCTAGCTCCCTGAGACTGAACCCCCTCTAGTCGCTGCACCGAGGGGCTTTGTCCACAAGGCTTCCTCTCCCCTGGAGTTTCAAAATATTGGCTCCTACATCATTGCATGTAATGAAGAAAGCCCCAGGGACTGCCCCAGGGACTGCCCCCTGGACTGACATAAAGTATGTGTTTGGGATTTTAATGTACCTTTCCGATCTTGTTTAATGAGACAAAAAATATTGAAGAGGCCTTCAATTAAAGGAGCCATAACTGGTTGCAGTAATGATGGATGTCAAGTCATAGAATTACTGTCTTAAAAGACAGAAGTTGTATTAAAACAGACTCAAAATTACCTTTGTCACCAGCCGCTTTTTATGACAAAATCAGTATAAAAATTGTCTTCAGCTATTATTGCACTGAGTAATAAAAATACATACATATATAATGCCTACTATGATCACAGGAGGCCACTACTAAAAATTGAGCTAACACTGTAAGGTAGAATAAACAGTTATGAAACCGAAGCACACCTGAAAACTCTATCTATCTAAAGTAGATGACAAATGAAATCCATCAGATGGGAGGCCCCATATCAACTGTGTAACACTCAACAAACATCCAGAAATGCAACTGCCCTGCATTGCTACCTGTATTCTTATACTGTTGCTCCACAGTCTTCAGCTGTTCTCTTAGTCGAACAAGCTCTTCTTCCTTCCCTGCTTGTTCCACCTCAACCTTTTGCCTAAATTCTACACACTCTTCTTCCAAATCTGTAAACTGAAAATAACAAGTAGTGACCATAACTTCTATAATCTAGCAGTAAGTCCAATGTTGCATCAGAAATTTATTAGTTTGTCATTTCCATCTGTTATTGTTCAAATTTAAGTAACAGTGTGTTAACAAGGAATTTAAATGTCATTTTGGCTGTGTGTGTACCTCACTTAGACACTCATGTCACACATCTAC